GGGGGGCACCGGGGAGAGAGAGCGGCAGTGCACGGGGGGCAGCAAGCCTGACCGTGCCCCGAGGAGGGTGGCAGAGCCCCAGCCAAGTTCCGCATGGCCCCTGCTGGGGCGCAGGCAGCAGTTTAAAAATGCCGAGGTCCGGGAGCGGCTACTTGGCACTTCTGACCCAGCCACCCTTCCCCTCCCAGCAGCAGCGGCTCCTGTAACAAGCTGTTGCCTGCACAAGAGGAGGAGGCAGCTGCGTGGCACCAGAAGCCCCGTGGGACAGGGCAGTCCTGCGGGGTGAGGAGGGGGCCGCGCAGTGGTGGGGCAGCTACAGTGGGTGGTGGACTGGCCAGAGAAGCACGCCGCCAGAAGCCTGTCCCTGCCGGCACAGCTCCAATGGGAGCGGCCCACAGGCTCTCCAGGGAATAGGGGAGTAGAATTTTCTCGCGGAACCCTTAGTTTCACTTTGCGGAACCTCAGGCTTCCACAGAACACCATGTGGGAAACACTGCCCTAGAGGGCCTAGTGGGCTACTACAGCACTGGGGTAACAGGAGGCTGTTCATACCACCACAGCCTCCCCCTTCTGCTAGAAGCCAGCACTTGATGCAGCCTCTGTAGTATGTGGAAGTTGCTATGCACATTGTCCCCAGTAGTCTTGTGGGATCCTGCCTGCTTCTGATCCCCATCACAGTCTCTTGGAGAGAGTGTGGTGCAGCATGGGAAATGCAACCCATCCAGGGAGCCCAGCCTAGGGAGAACAGGCACATGAAGCACCCAAACTATAAAACCGCAATGATGCACCAGCTATTCCCAAGATGCACAGCCCTCCCATCTACAAAATGGGGATGTAGTCTGGCCAGGGACCCATCTCATAGAGAAGGCAGGTGCAGGAGTCAGCCAAACTGCATTTCAGAATAAAATACATTGTTTTTCCCCAAAAAGAACATTTTCTGGAGGGAAAAACATGCCCTTGCCCCTGTTTCCAGAGGAGCGCCAGCCCTGACTCCATGTGGTGGTTGGGGTCCAGGGATCAGGGACCTGGAGCCAGAGGAACTTCTCAGTGCAGCTGGTTTATTTACAAAATGTACAGAAGGCCACAGGACCAAGAGCAGAAAATCTCACCTAGGCACCCCGCCCCACACACACATATCCTTATCCCTGCTCCCTGGGGGCTTGGATGCCACACACGGCCCCATTGGTGACTGTTATAGTTTGGATTCGGTTACCACACCTCCTGCATAGCTTGTCTGAGCAGTCTAGCTGCTCCCCAAACACTTGCACCTAGTGGTGAGCCACCGATGCTTTCAGAGCTCCCAGGCTTTCTTCCCACTTTGCCCCAAAGATCTGACGATCATCAGTTTGGCCTCAGGATCCAATCCAAGCCCAGCTTGGTGCTGACGCATCAGCAGGTGTGAAATCTGTTGGCAGGGTCTCAGTCCGCAGCAGGACATGAACCAGTGTCCCATGAGCCACCCCTGAGTACTCCTCCTTCCGGAGAGAATCATTTTAGGAGGATGGGTGTCAGGCCAATATGCACCACCAGAGGGAGCCAGTTCACAGCCCAAGCAGGCTAGAGGGAGGGGCAGGTGTCAGGCCAAAATACACCACAGAGGAGAGCCATTACAGTCACATCTGGCAAAGTTGTTTGGGGGAGTGTATCCCTGTTCTCTCCATGTCTCACAGGCTCCCTGTGTGCGAGGCGCAGGGCCCGTCATTAGCGGACAGCTCAGTGGCACAACTTGGTGCCCCCCGCCCACCGTTTGCCCTGTCTCTTTAAGGGGGCTGAGCCCTAAGTTGCAAAGGGAGCAGCAGGTGGCTTCCCCCTCCATGATGGCCCTTTGGTGCAGCCTGCACCTGTGCACCGAGGGCCCAAGGCTGGAGGTCTTGGGGGGCAGGGAAGGCTGCTCAGATCCTGGTTGAGTGGACAATGTGATCCATGTTCTCCTCAACAGGCGCCTCCTCACCTTTCCGCCTTGCTCTGGAACCAGAGAGAGAGGGAATGAAAAGGGCTGCAGGGGCAGGTGGGAAGGGATTGACGGGGAAGGAACAGAGGTTTACGGGGGAGGGGAATATGAAAGGGCAACGGGGGACGTGCGCCACCAGCCCGAGTGTCTCACCTGGCCTCCACCTCTTCTATGCTGTCCAGCAGGGGGACGTTGTGCATCTCTGGCAGGAAGCAGGCAGCGACACCGGAGACGATGGGAGCCACCCCGAATATCACCAGCGGCAGGAAAGGAAATTGCTGCTCTGCCACCAGCACCACTGGGGCCACCATGCCAGCCAGACGAGCCACCACGGTGGTGAAGCCAGTGCCTGTCTGCCTGCCAGTAACAGCGTATTGTGAGAGACTTGTAATAATAACAGGATGACCCGCATGGAGAAGGGGCCACCTCTAGGATGGAGCACAGAGGCTGTTGTGACAGGGAGCTCTTTCCTGGCACTGAGGCAGCCACCTCTGGGGTGGAGCGAGGGGATGTTTATACTGGGATCCCTCACTTGGCTCTGAGATGCAGCTGCCCGTGGAATGGAGCACAGAGGCTGCCTATACAAGGATCCCTCACTCAGTACTGTAATGCAGCCATCTCTGGGGTGGGGCGAAGGGGCTGTTTATTCAATCACAGAGATGTGGATTTTACCTGACAGCAGTTGGAAAGAGCTCTCCTCCATACAGATAGGAGCAGACGGAGGAGGCAGCCAAGCATCCTTTTCCCAGCACCACAAGAGTCAGTCGCACCATCAGCATCTCTGGGGAGAGAAGGGATGGGGATGGAGAACTGGCCTTCTCTGAGGTCACAAAGCCCCGTGCAGGTTTTCCTCACTATAGCCCCACATCACAGCTGCCATGTGAGCCGTAAAAAATATCAGTGCAGCATTTCACATGGGGAAAACTGAGGCATAAGACTGCACAAGGAGAATGACTTGTCCAAAGCAGTGGCAGAGCAATGAATAGACTCTTGGACAGTGTTTCTTAAAGCGTGTTCTGCGGCACACCGGTGTGCCGTGAGACAGTCGGAGGTGTGCCGCAGAGAACAGAGTTCAAAATGGCCGCCCTTAAAAGGTCAATGTCTTTTTTTTTTTTTTGTTCAACCCTTGGTGTTCTGCATAAAATAAATTATTGTTTGGTGTTCCTCGGTCTTCAAAAGTTTAAGAAACACTGCTCTAGGAGCTCTGACCCCCAGCTGCCCACCCTGTTCCAATCACCAGACCCCACTGCCCTTCCAGAACAGGGCCTAGAACCCAGGAGTCCTGGCTCCCAGCTCTGCCCTCTTACCCTAACCATCTCGCCTGAAGGTCATGGGATGGGAGACGTGGCAGAGCCATGTCACGAGGGCCTCCTCCACTTCCCAGCTCAGAGGACCTACCTGACACCCATCACTACTGGAGGTTGAGTAGGTTGAGAATGTGGCTCCCAGAGGGCTCCTTACCTCTGGGCACAGGGATGTTCCCCAGCAGGAAGGTGCCAGCCAGGATGAGGGAGCTGGCCTGGACAGCTCGGCGCCCAAAGTAGCTCAGTGCCAGGGCACAGGCCATCTTGGCCAGGATGTCAATGGCTCCAAAGAACGTCTGCACCAAGAAGATGTCCAGGCCAAAGGCCTGCAAATCCATGGAGAGCCCAAAGTAGGCCAAGTTGGTGGAGAAGCTGCAGGGCAGAGGGGAGGTGGATCAGGGGCAATGTCCTCTCTAATTTTTCCAGCTATGCGCAGAATAAATTTTGGCATGTGCACCAAGGCATGTGAGGATGTGCACCACCAGTAGGAACACAGGCTGCTGGCTACCGGCATTGTGGGCACTCTGCTAATCAGCTGGGCAGCATTTGAATCCCTCGAGTGGCCGCCCAAGTGCTCAGCTTACAGGGAACACTAGTCATGGCATCAGGCAGGAGTCACAGGTGGTATGGAGAGCTCAGCGAGGCTGTGACAGCTGGGAAGTGGGGGAGGCCTTTGTGATATGTGTCCATCCTCCAAGGTACATTTGTGTCCTCTCCCTCCTCCAACCCCGTCCATCCTCATAGATGTGTCCCTCTGTTCCTCCATCCTCTCCTTAGATCCAGGCAGATGTGTCTGTGTCCATGTATCCTCATTACTAAATCCTAGACATTCAACTATATGTCCCTCCCTCCCCCTCTGGCTCGCCCATGGATCCTCTTTTCCTTATCTATCTACCACCAGAGCTGCTCTTTTAGCCTGTTGCAGCCTTCCCCTTCCACCCGCACCCACCACTATCTGGCCGTCCCCCAATAGGTGCCCTTATCCCTTGTGTACAAATGGCTCCGGCGCTGGAGACTCTGAGCCCCAGGCTGGCTGGGCAGAGAGCCCTTACCTGACACTCATAAGGCAGCAGGTGATGCGTCTCATGGCCGGCGTGCGGAACAGGTCCAGGCAAGAGCAAGTGCCTTTCTTGGGTGGGCTGCCCCCCACTCTCTCCAGCACCTAGGAGACAGCAGGTGGCTCAGCAGGGCCCCAGGGGAGGAGGAGGCAGGACACAGACTCGATCCTTCGCTTGGCCCCAGGGCTGTGGGGGTGCTGCCTGCACCAAGCTGGCCCAGCCCAGGGCCTTCCCAGCCCCAAAGCCCCATCCCCCATCTCACACCCAGTAGGGACAGGAGCCTTGTAGGGCTGAGACTGAGGGCAGGAGCTCAGCATGACACCCGAACATGGCTTCTGCCCTTGGCATCTGCCCTGGAAGCCTGGGCATTGGGTAACAGGGAGAGGGGGTAACATGGTGGGAGGGAAATCTGAACAACAGATTGAGGGATGGATGGGTATTTGGCGAGAGAGAGAGGGATGGGTGTGTGGGGAGAGAGAGGGACAGGTGTGGGGGAGGAAAGGGAGGGATGGGTGTGGGGAGGAAGGAGGGACAGATGTGTGAGAAGAGGGATGGACGGGTGTGTGGAAAGAAGAAGAGATGGGCAGTGGGGGGGAAGCATGGGTATGTGGGGAAAGGGAGGGACAAGTGTGTAGGGGGAGGGAAGCATGGGTGTGTGAGGAGAGGCAGGGACAGGTGTGTGGGGGGAGGGAAGGACGGGTGTATGGGGGAGGGATAAGTGTGTGGGGAGAGGGAGGGATGGGTGTGTGGGGGAAGGGAGGGAGGGTGTGTAGGGGGAGAGAAGGACAGGTATGTGGCTGGGAGGGAGCAATGGGGAGGAGGGAGGGATGAGTGTGTGAAGAGGGGGAGGGACGCATGTGTGACGC